GTAGGGAAAACTCTATTCCTTTGTCAATATAAACAATATATTTAATATATAAAAAAAAGGCTAAAGAGACTGGGGAACCCAGTTCGCCCCAATAGGGCAAGTCTATGTGTGCTATTTATCTTCTCTTTTTTATCTCTTTCTTTTCTCCATCATGATCCCTACTGCTCTTATTCTTCGGCAAGTCTTACGGGATAAATTTGGATTTAATATCCTAAAAAACATAGTGAGTGTGGAGTATGTTATCAATAAAGAAGTGAAGTGACACCAACGAGAAGAAATACATCTCAAAGGCATTCCTAATAGGAAGTGCGTTAAGGAGTTCATTCAACAACATACATGGAGTCAGAACTAGCGTCTTCTTAGAGGCATTGTCTAAAAAGAGAGTACTGCAAAATGGATGGTCGGCTCCAAACGGGCAAAACAAAACAAGTGGACCGACCGCACCCCGGCACTACTCAGTCAATTCCAAGCGACTAACACCTGATCCAACAAATAAAAGGGGTGTTACTTTACAACTTATCTTGTGTTATGACACAAATTTATCTAATGTTGTCTCAAGTTCAACTGACACTTTGGGAACTCAGTTCTGAGTGAACGAGCAAGAAGTTAACAATAAAAAACTCCTCTTCAGGGCAAGCAAACAAAAAACTTTTCTCTGATACAAAGAAAAACCCTAAGTGTGATCAAATAAAAACTCGCCTCCGATGCAAGCAAGAAAAAAAAATCTCGTCCGAATGAGCAAACAAAAGACTCCCCTTCAAAGCGAGTAAACAAAAGACTTTCGTTGAGAAATTAAGGCGAAGAAAAATATGAATCGACATAAATCCAGAAGAACACACATAGATTTACTAGGTTTGACAAAGATGCCTACATCCTATGGAGCAGAGCAGCAGCTTTCTTTTCAATATTTAGAAAAGAGTACATAATACAAGATTCAGCTCACCTAGGGTTACAAACAGAACATATATATAACCCTATAGTACAATATGCAATTACTTAAATTACTTCCAGTACCAAACCGTAAGGTGTTGCCCCCGCACCCCCAACCCACATAAGGAAACTCCCCCGATTGGACAGACAGATCCTTCCGCTCCACTCCGCTCTTGGGTTTCGCTCTGCTCCAACATCTGTCTCATTTATGGTATATGAGTCATTCCTAACAAAACCATCTTGACGAATATCCAACCCCTTTAGAAGAAATGCAAAGACGCCATTAATACATGTAACTCTTCTATTTTTTTTAAAGCAGAGACTATCAAAGGACACTAGAAGGATTTATAATTCCCCTATTAAAGTTTAAAACGGAGCATTAATAAAAATATATTACTAACTCGTAGCTCCCCTATTAAAGTAGGGCAAGCAACATAGCATGTAAAAAGGGTGATCTTAACTCTTGACTTTTCTCATGTATGTAGAATTCTATGCCCTTCTCAATATAACCGCAATTTTCTATATATAAAAGGGGTCAAAGATCTTGGAGATAACCCAGTTCGCTCCTACGAGTCAAGTCTATGCGTCATATTTATTTTCCCTTTTTTGTCTTTCTTTTTTCCACTCAAGGTTCCCAACGCTCTGGTTTCTTGGCAAGTCTCACGTGTGTATATATATATATATATATATATTAAAAATTAGGGGCAATTAAGCGCCCAAAACATTGCAATTTACAAAGCTACACCCTCTTTTATCCATTTTTCGAATTCTCACTCAAATATAAAAATTCATAATATGTAAATGCATGGGTTCGATACTATAATAACTCACTTGAATGTTTAATTTGTAAATAAGATTCCTTCAGGTGCTATCAATGTAATTATCCCTAAAAAAATATTAATTTGCGAGAATTCCCGAGGAAGATTTCATCGCAAGTCATATATTTCTAAATCCTCTGCCCTTTTCTCGCTTCCCACCTTAGTCCTCCCTCCCTCCCTCGCCTCTCCATCTCTCTCCCCCTCCCTCTCTCTCCTCCTGAACACCAGTTGGATTTGAAGAAATGAAGGTTAGTTCTCCACCAAATTAAAGCAAAGATTTATTTTATGGCTCTTTCTTCTAGCTCCAAAAAAGGATTCTTTTTTGCCTTTCTGCTACCCTCCCCTGCTCTTAAGTAAGGAAAAACAGCCCTTCTTTTGTCCCTATACTTCTCCTCTGCGCATTTTTTGAAGATGAAAAAAATGGAATTCAGTTTTATCTAAATTAAAGATGTTTATTTCGTTAATTTTTCATTAGGATCATCAATATTATCAAATAAAATACTTTTCCCAAAATCTCTCGCCTGCTTTTTTCAAAACAAGAAAGGAGCCTCCTCTTCCCTCTTCCCTCTTCCCTCTTCCCTCAACTTCATCTACGACAAAATTAACTCTCCCTCTCTCTCTCCCTCTCATCGATTATATTCATTTTCTAATAAAGCTTTCATCTTTGATTATTTCATGATCAAATTTTTATTAAAGTCCTCATCTTTGATTAGTTTTTCTTTTTTTTTTTTTTGCTTTTCAGAAAACTGTTCTGAAACTCGATCTCCATGATGACAAAGACAAGCGCAAGGCCTTGAAAGCTGTCTCTACCCTCCCAGGTCTCCTTCTCTCGCTCTCTCTCTCTCTATCTCTGCTTTAAAAACTGTAAACTAAAATCATAAACCGCAGGTATTGATTCAATCTCCGTGGACATGAAAGAGAGGAAGATGACAGTGATGGGCGACGTTGATCCCATCGATATAGTAAAAAAGCTAAGAAAGTCCTGGAAAGCTGAGCTCTTTTCCGTCGGGCCACCACCAAAGGAAGCCGCCGCCGCCGCCGCCGGCGGGGGGGGAAAATCCCCCAAACACTTGTGTCATTAGCTAATTATCTCATCTTAATTATCCTATAATAGGGTTTAAAACGGCTTAATCTTACTTTGTATAATTAATTATTATTAATATATTTATCACTGAGAAAAAAATTGAATCTTGATATTCTGATGGAGATGTGTCATAAAATTCTTAGATTTATTTTGAAATAAGTGCAGCATAAGTTTTCTTTTAGTATTGATAAATATTGCATTTATTTTAAAATAAATTTAATTATTTTGAGATGTTTTTGGATTAGAATGTCTTGAATTAATTTTTTAAAACTATTTTTAAGTGAAATTAAAATAATTAATTAGGACTTCTGTATTATTTTTAACATAAGGGTTTTTTCTTTTCTTTTTTTTTTATATATGTAATTTTGCCTTAATAAGAGGGGATTAGTGTGAGAATAATTATCTTATTTGGGATATTTTTGTTTATGTAATATTGTTATGAACACGTGCCGCCGCGTACTCTGGTCTGTTGGTTGGCATCCACGATATGAGACTCCTCAGTTCGGGGGTTCGAAACTCCTTTGGCACAGTTGGCCTTAAGGAGGTGGTACTCGAATTGCCAGACATATTATGGACGACTGAAAACTCGTATAATAGCCTTTGGCTATTCCTTAAAAAAATATGGTGAACACACCTTCAATTTCTTTGAGATAATGGAATAATTCTGTGTTCATAAACTAAAGTTCTACGTGTGATATATTTGATTTATTTCTAGTTCTTTCATTTTCACTCTTAATCAGAAACCTGACTTTAAGGGCATGACTGCAAATTAATTATTTGTGGGGTTGCTATGTGTCAACAGAGCATTTGACCGACCTGAGGTCCTCAATTTATGGATTGCATGATATATAAATCATTGATTTTTCAAAGTGTTGACTTCATAAGTGAGTCTTCTTTAGTCTCCATTTTATGTTTCTGAGCTTATTTAATATTATTTTGTAGAGATCTTTAATATGTTGGATCCATAGTTGCCAATACAAGGTAACATAAATGTTTACTTGAGCATTGACTCAAGGTTGAATGTGAGAAAAAGAGAAAAAGGAGGTACTTTTTAGAGAATTTTCTATGGAATTGAAAGATTAATTTGGTTGAAGCTCTTTAAGTATATAGTGTGAGTTAGTCCGAGTTGAGAGATTATAACTCAAAGAAAGAGGATTGTTGTGTGATAACATGTGTAGAATATTATGATTTTGGGTGAACGCATCTAACATTTTGTTGATGATGACTTTGATCAATGTTAACACGAATCTCAAAGCATTTGAATGGCTCAAGCGACGGCCATACAACCAAGGCGTCATACTGCTTTACTGACAACCATGTGGTCAATAATAGGCCAACACATCATGACGAGAGATTTGAACGACAGACCACACTGACAGTCCGGACCGATCGGGGTGCAGGTGGGAATCATTTATCGCGGCTAATATGCCGACCCATTTTTACCACGAAAGACGATATTGATACTCAACCAGGCGCCCTAACCGACTAACTCATGGTCCGGTCGTCATGCAAGTAGTCACCTTAGTCGGGCGAATTTAAGCAAGTCAACTGGCCAAGTTATTGCCATGTTAAAACTCAAATTGTAATACTCATATAGTATGAAAACCATGAGCTTAATTTGAGCATCAACTGTAAATAGTTCATTTTTCTGTAATTGTACAAAATACGCTCTAAGAAATATAGTGCAAAAATACAAATAAAGGAACCATTTACCGAATCTCTCTACAGGAAACTTCTGTCTTGCTATACTTTCTTTTTCTCTTCCTTCACTCAATCCTAAACTCCGGGACATGTTCACAAAGAATAATTTAAGATCCAACACATGTAAAAAGAATACTCAATCAGCTACACTTTTCATGATAAAGATTTAGTTATAAGTTAATGTGTTCACGATGACAATTGCAATTATCTACTTTGGCAATGAAGAAAATTTTATGAATGTAAGGACCCCATTTAACATGGAGATTAGGGCTTGAGTATACACCTATAATTTTGTTTTATTTAATTTTTTTAAAATCCTTAAATATTTTTATTATATTTTATTTTCTTGCACTTCACATCTGTGTTTGTCATCCACTGCTTCATTTAATTGAAAGATGACAAAACTCATCAAATGACACGAAACATGTTGTAAGTCCATCACAAAAATATTAGCTTCTGCCTGCCGTGAGCAATGTGTTTCTAAACCACATTTACAAGAACTAATTCTATTTCACAAAGATCAATTCTAATCTAGACTTTGATCTACTCATACTATATATATGTTCAAATACCCTTGAACTGTTGTGCACCTAAGTCATAGGGTGACAAATTGGTAGACAGTTGCGTTGTCAGTCATAAGACTCCTCTGACCCGTATTCGATCTCTATGAGGATAGCTAGCACATATGGGAAATAATATTTCCAAATACTACCTTTAAGAAAAAATAAAAAGTTAAAAGACAAAAAAAAATACACTTGAATTGTTCAACTTCATTAGATATTTAGAGTTTTCATGTTAGCAAACAAAGGAGTTGAATCGGACTTCCGTTGGACCTTTTACACGCGCGCAATTTTAAATTTACGAACTGCATTTTACAGCGGGCATTTACATACATGCCCCTCAATTCCTATGTATTTATAAATCTAACACCTAAATTTTACTTTTTATATTTATATCACTCAAATCTTTCACACATCACATGGATATATATGTAAATCTTTCTTCGTAAAATCTTACTTTTGAAATTTTTTTTTTTAAGATTCCCATATGAAATTTGATTCTAATAAAAAAGATGTTACATGATTTGTGACTGACAGTCTCACGAAATTAAATTGATCTTGAAATTAAATTAAATAAAAACCATCGAAATTTGTTGGCAGTTTTTTTTATAAAATAAAATTGAAAAGCAAATCACAAATAAAATATCGGATAAGTTCAAAAAAACGTCAGATTTTGTAATTATAAATTACAAAAAAAATTAAGTAGGATTACAGATTGGTGCCAAATGGGAAATGCTCGTGAAAAGAGTCATAGAACCGGCCATATAAGCTTTATATAATAATATTTTTTTGAAAAGGTAAGAATTTAAGAACCATTTTTATAATATCTTCATAATATGTTTAAGTGATTAAAACAAAAAAATGAACAATAGGTAGGATTGATTAAGCACGTTACAACAAATATGACAAATATTTAAAAAATCTTTATATATATATCAGAAAAGAAATGATCAGAGATAATTATACGAGCCTCCAACAACTCCTAATGTGTCTAACAATTGAAAAAATATTACATCAGGACTCCACACGTAGAGTTACATGCGGAGTCCAATGAAATTACGTCGTGGAGGTGATCGGCCCGGTAACTCCAGGGAATATTCTCCTTGTGTTATTCCATGCTTTTCAGGTGTTATTGTGTTCTGGTAATATTCCCGGTATTACAATAACACAAGAGCATATCAATAATACATGAATAACACACAATAACACAAGAATAACACACAATAATACCTGAATAATACGAGGGGATGCTCCTCGTGTTACCTGGCCGATCACTTTTACGGCATAATTTCATTGGACTCCGCACGCAACTCTACGTGCAGAGTCCTGATGTGATATTTTTTCCTAACAATTTGAGTACCGCCTCCTTAAGACTTACTGTGCCAGAAGAGACTTTAACCCTCGACTTGAGGGGTCTTACAGAGATGATGCTAACCAACAAGCCGAGATAGTCCAAACATCATGATTCAAATTTTCTCCCGGACATTATCTAAGTACTAAATTTATTTATTTTTAGATGATAAATGATAA